ATGGAAGGCAGCTAGCTATCACCACCAACCGCCAACTCTTGGGCTACTCTTTTACCAACGAATAGTGGGATTGACCGTCACATTATAACGCCCCCACGGTTGAAAGGGCAAGCATGTTTGGTGTTACGGGGATTCGAACCCGCGACCCGCAAACTGCACCTTCTGGTTCGACTGCTTTAATTTTCTAAGGAATAAATTTAAAACTTAACCACCTCTATTTCTTCTACCTGCTTTTACAAATATTTTCTGTGTTTTTCATCACTGATAGTAATACACTTTAAAACTACTTGCACTGTTTCTTCATGATGGTAAGAAAACCCTCAGGACGAATGAAACAATAGTAAAACCAATCAAATCTAATACGAAAATTCCCGAGCGTTTTCGAAATGTAGAATTTTCTTCATTAAAATGTGGAAATGTAGTATTTATTGTGAACATTCAATTATTTAACTTTGTCATTCTATCGTTTTATTATATTATAATGATAATTAGGCCTAAAAAGCTACAAATACACAATGCCAATCTTATAGTTTTGTTAGCGTTATTAATTTAAACATATTTTGGTTTCACCAAATTGTTCATCTTCGTTATATTGCCTGTGGAGTGATATTGTTTGTATGTTTGTTATTAAGAACAAAACAATAGGCTATCTGTGCTTTGTCCACCCACCGCAGGTATCGAAACCTACTTTTTAGCGTTATAAGTCCTCACACTTACTGATGAGCCACCGGCTCGCCTATGAACTAAACTAAACTATTAAATAAATTGTTTTGAAAAGTATATCTAAATCAGATTCGTAATCTGAATCTAAACTTAAAACCTGAGCACTGGTTGTCTAATCTTTTAACATTTCAGTTAATTACTTTGCTATTTTTCTTCTTATTCTCTTACAACAATGGATGTTTTTCCCTAATATCTTTCTGAACATAATTTTTTCATCGATCGTTTTCTGTAAATTTCCATGGTTTGCTTTATTTATCTTCTTCTGACGATTTCTTTTCATCTGTTCATTTCGTCTTGTAGATGTTGAACTGCTGAAACTGCTTCTTTGTGTGACGAGATTATGGTGCAAATATTGCATGAGACGCTTCATTCGATATTTGAATTCGTAGCAAAAACGATTACTAATTAAAAATGAATTTATACTAAATGGAAGCAAAGACTGTTATTAATAAGTTTTGGATGAACTAATGTACATAATGTAGTCTTCTTGTACCTAGATCGAATTGAAGGACTTTCACGAACAAATCGCATTAAAAACTCAAATGGTAGATACATATGTATACATGAATATAAGATGTTCTGAATGCAACATCATGATTGTCACGAATCATTTCACAGAAAATATGATCTTCATTTTAAGGAAAAATTGGGAGAGAAATACGACACCTAAGTGTTCAACTTTAGACATTTCTCACAAGTACAGTTATTAGATAAATACGACACCTTAGTTTTCAACATTGGATATTTCCCACGAGATAAATATTATTAGATAAATACGACACCTTAGTGTTCAACTTTGGACATTTCTCACGAGTACAGTTAATAGATAAATACGACACCTTAGTTTTCAACTTTGGACATTTCTCACGAGTACAGTTATTAGATAAATACGACACCTTAATGTTCAACTTTGGATATTTCCAACGAGTACAGTTATTAGATAAATACGACACCTTAGTGTTCAACTTTGGATATTTTCAACGAGTACAGTTATTAGATAAATACGGCACCTTAGTGTTCAACTTTGGATATTTCTCACGAGTACAGTTATCAAATATACATTCACACACTATTCACATATCACCCTATGACTAGCGCAATAACCTATAAAATATGGCCACTTTATTACACAACAAACACTATTCACATCTCACTTTATGACTAGCGCAAGAACCTATAAAATATGGCCACTTTATTACACATTAAACACTATTTACATCTCACCCTATGACTAGCGCAATAACCTATAGAATATGGCCACTTTATTACACATTAAACACTATTCACATATCACCCTATGACTAGCGCAGTAACCTATAAAATATGGCCACTTTATTACACATTAAACACTATCTACATCTCACCCTATGACTAGCGCAATAACCTATAAAATATGGCCACTTTATTACACATTAAACACTATTCACATATCACCCTATGACTAGCGCAATAACCTATAAATTATGGCCACTTTATTACACATTAAACACTATCTACATCTCACCCTATGACTAGCGCAATAACCTATAAAATATGGCCACTTTATTACACAACAAACACTATTCACATATCACCCTATGACTAGCGCAATAACCTATAAAATATGGCCACTTTATTACACATTCTGTCCATTTCTCCACTTCTTGCAATGCCCTGTGCAACATAATCATTTATTGTTACATCTGGTTCAATTTTACAATACGGACAATTCACCCTACCGCTCGTGCAGTATGACCAGTTCATGCTACAATTCTGCATTGTTACCTGTATGTATTTTAGGTATAACCGGCTCACCCTACGTCTCATGGATTATTACGAGTCCATTACATATTCTATTCAATATAGTCGTCCAAAAATATCATTAACAGCGAAGGCACCCATCTGATGAAACAAGGTATCCTAATGTTTATAAGTAAGAACGTAGGAAAACTATGTGTAATTAGCTATATTTATTACCAGAAAATATACAGTTTCGCTCTATTTAAGTAGTTCGGAAGTTAATATTAATAATAAGCTTATCATCTGCCTTATGAAATACGATAAACCTATTCCATGTTATGTTCAATAAGACTTATGTATCCTCTGCCTTAAGAAATAGGACTAATTCATTCATATTTTGTTCAGAAGGACATATTTATTCTCTGTCTTATGCAATATGAGTACTTCATTCATGTTCTGTTCAATGATACCTATTTATTCTCTTATGCAATACATGTTAGATCTTTCAAAAACAAAAAAAAAAAAACAGCATACGATAGCCACAATAAAAAGATGCACACACTCTATCTGATTTTAATATTATTAAACATTAGTTTTTATACTTTTGTTTGCTTTAGAGAAAAGCCTCACTGGGCTATCTACGGGGAATCAAACCCAGGATTTTAGCGTTGTAAGTCCGTAAAATTCCTACAGTCTCACCGAGGGACATTAAACTTTTGTGTTAGGAAAAACTTTTCCACGCGTCCTCTTCCATTTTATTTGCTAACTTTCGGTCAACTTTCAGCAACTCTCTTTACGACGGTCTTGATAACTCGTGAAAGCTACACTGATATACAACTTGGCCAAGATATCTCTAAACGAAACGAGGCTGCTGGGACGTAATTATTCAACTAATTCTTTTACCTTTCCCTATGTACAAAAGACACGTCATAAAGGCTTGGTGATAAGTTTCTAAATGAGAAAGGAAGTTAACCTTAAAATCACAAACATTTTAGGACATCAAGGCAGTAGTACGAAAACCTCACTGAACCTGCTTCGGTTTTTGGTAACAACAGCTTGGAATTGTGGCTGTGTTGCTGGGTAAACAAGTGCAAATCCTGACAAATGTATGTCATTTTTTTTATGTTGCACAAGACAGACAACAGAACATGGAATGAATTGGTCATACTGCCTAAGGCAGAGAATAAATAAATCTTATTGAACAGAAAATGGCATGAATTGGTCATATTGCATAAGGGAAAGGATAAACAAGTCTTATTGAACAACACATGGAACGATTTTTTTGTATTGCACAAGGAAGGAAATAAATAGGCTTCATTGAGCAGAACGTGGGATGAATTGATCATGTTACATAGGGCAGAGAATAAATAAGTCTCATTGAACAACACATGGAACGATTTTTTGTATTGCATAAGAGAATAAATAGATCTTATTGAACAACACATGGAGCGATTTTTTTGTATTGCATAAGAGAATAAATAGATCTTATTGATCAGAACATGAATGATTAGTCCCACCCACTTCCAACTCCTGGGCTACTCTTTAGCAGCGAAAAGTGGGATTGACCTTCACATTATATCGCCCTCCACATCTGTTCGGTGAAGGGATTCGAACCTGCGACCCATAGATTGCGATTCGAGTGCCATGCTCAGCCTCGACTGATATTTAAGAAATCAAGTTCATTTCAACATAAGAAACAAAATATACAAGTTTTCCCCAAACTTGAGTATTAGGATGTGTTTTTAGAAAAACCGCAACAATATAAATAATTTTTTTTATTATAAATATTTATGTTTGAGAGTAACACTGATGACTAGCTGCCTTCCTTCTAGTACAAATTAAGAACAGCTGGCGCAGTTAGCCCTCGTGTAGCTTTGCACAAAATTCAGGAAACAAAAAAATAAACAAACTTAAACAGCAGTTCCTCTACTGAGACTCAAGAAAATGCGATATAAGATAATCACATACCTTTTTATAACAAAAACATTTCTCTTTGTCTTCTATAAAGTACAACAAGTTTCAACGAACTAATTCTAGGGATGTTATATCATCTAAAACCATCATCAGTTTCTAAGGAACAAACACAAGGATAAATCATAGTGTTCTTACAAAACACCAAAGTAAATTATCGTTGTTGTTTGTTTTTTTTCTTTCAAGTGGATCTCGATGGCTCTACACAGTGCTTGGCTGGGACTGAAGGTACGTATTGGTTTTGTAACATTTTATGATATAATTCATAGGTTATTGTTATAATATCTGAAAGAGTTGTACGAAATGTGGTTCAACAATTATTTGTCAAAACGTAAGGTAACTTGTATCCACACGTCACTGTCTGTAGAAAGTATACTTGAATTTCGCTAAACGGTAGCTTGTATCTATTTATACGTCACTGTTTGTAGACAAGCACTCGGTAAATCCATTTTCAGTAAACGATAGCTTGTATTCTCAAGAAGACAAAATAGTTTTTCATTTTAAACCTAAACCAAGAAAGTTTAAATTTGTCAGTTAAATCGTTTAACATGAGTATAGTAAAGCAGACACAGGATATATTGCAAATGCAAGAATCTCTTTAAAAACAAAATATTAAATATCTAAGTTGAAATTACTTTTATCAGATGTCTCAATTTACTTGAAAGTTATTGGAATCTTATGCGCTTCCATGTGCGTCTTGTACAACTATATGGAATCTTATGCAGCTTCTATGTGTGTTTTGTACAACCATTTGGAACTTATGCAGCTTCCATGTGCGTCTTGTACAACTATATGGAATCTTATGCAGCTTCTATGTGTGTTTTGTACAACCATTTGGAACTTATGCAGCTTCCATGTGCGTCTTGTACAACTATATGGAATCTTATGCAGCTTCTATGTGTGTCTTGTACAACCATTTGGAACCTATGCAGCTTCCATGTGTGTCTTGTACAACTATTTGGAATCTTATGCAGCTTCTATGTGTGTTTTGTACAACCATTTGGAACTTATGCAGCTTCCATGTGTGTCTTGTACAACTATTTGGAATCTTATGCAGCTTCCATGTGTGTCTTGTACAACTATTTGGAATCTTATGCAGCTTCCATGTGTGTTTTGTACAACTATATGGAATCTTATGCAGCTTCCATGTGTGTTTTGTACAACTATATGGAAGCTACATAAGATTCCAAATAGTTGTACAAGACACAAATGGAAGCTGCATAAGATTCCAAATAGTTGTACAAAACACACATGGAAGCTGCATAAGATTCCATGTATAAACTATTTGCTCATTTCTGTTATTTTTGCGTAGATTCATCCAGAAAGGGAAAGAACACGTGGTCACTATTACGGTTGGTAAGTATCTAAACTGATTATTTTTAATCTGATTCCAGCAAACTAAAGTAGATATATTTAAAACGCTACCTAGAGAAAATATATTTTCAAAGAAACATCGTTTACCTCTAACAACTGTCTTTCGAATCTAATGTTAACTAAATTTAGATATCGCAACTGATCAAATTGTCAACGCTTATCATTCTTCTAACTGTTGAAAAATTAATGCAGTAATGAATAAATAATGAACATTTTTGTTTTTTGTTTTAAGAATGACGTAACCTCTTTTTACGCTTCACTTTTGTTTTTTTTTCGAACCTGTTAAACACTTGATGCTACAGCTCTAAATGTTTGTTATACAAATGTCTCTCTCTACTATTTTAGTTGAATCTATTTTTAGATGTGACGTATTCTTCGTCGAGCAGTTACTGTGTGCCTATTTGTCCGTTTTCTGTCTAGTTTTTTTCTAAGTCTTATTATTTGCAGTGTTCATCATATGACGTAATTGCTATACACAGTTTATTAAGATATTTCAAAACCATTACTTCCATCTACGTACTTTCTATTAAGGACGGCGTGTTTTCAGAAAACTGGGTGCATGCTGTATTTTCCAATGTAGTCAAATCTAGAAAATATGTGTAAGTTTAAGTTTCAAAAAATTATGCTCTACTCAGAAGATTTGCTTTTGGATATTCTTCTATAAAAATATAAGATACAATGAGAAAATATTTCTTATATACGTGACGCCCATAATTATTAGCTTAACAAAGCAAGCACCAGGTACCAGAGGTTCTTTTTTCAAGAAAATTATATTAAGTTTTCAATCTAATTAACCAAGCTATTACCAAACTACCGTTATAAGTTAAATATTTTATCGACATTATAATACGGCGTTAATTTTAAAACTACATTATACATTAAACAAATGCCAGTTCAATGATTGATGGTTAGATTAATTCATGATTCGGTGAGTTGTAGTTGCTATAATTCTCGAAGTTTCGTTCTTAACTTTGTTATATTTAGAACTTAAAATAGTCAACTTATAATGCTTATAATGTCACTCAGTTAGAGCATGAACTTGCTGTTAGTAGGATGAATATACAGTGCCTTGCAAAAGTATTCACCCCCTGCAAACTTTCTACATTTTGTTGCTGTCTGAGCTTGCAATCATGAAACTTTCAAATGGGACATCATATTTCGAATCTACACAATCGATTGCAAACTGAGAAAGTTGAAAAAAAAAACGCTGATATTACGTAAGTAAGTTAGATTTTCCAAGAAAATTAGAATATTCTCAATTGCATAACTATTCAAACCCTTTGCTACTGCAACCATAAATCAGTTAAAGTGCAAAAGATTAGTTTGAAAGGTCACCAAATTAGTGTAATGGTCTCTGTCTATGTGTAATCAAAGTGGTTTAATTTGACTTCAGAGTAAATGCATCTGTTCAAGCCACAACTCGCATAGTGATACGACAAACCAATCATGAAGATCAAGAAGCTTTCCAAACAAGTCAGGGATAAAGTGGTAGAGAAGCAAAGATCAGGAGAAGGTTACAAGAAAATTTCAAAGTCGCTTTGAGTATGGTGAAGTCCATCGTTAAGAAGTGGGATGTGCTTCATACCACCCAGTCACTATCCAGATCAGGCCGCCTTTCCAAACAAGTCAGGGATAAAGTGGTAGAGAAGCAAAGATCAGGAGAAGGTTACAAGAAAATTTCAAAGTCACTGATTATCCCTTTGAGTATGGTGAAGTCCATCGTTAAGAAGTGGGATGTGCTTCATACCACCCAGTCACTATCCAGATCAGGCCGCCTTTCCAAACTAAGCAGCCGAGCAAGCAGGAAACTGGTTAGGGATGCCACTGTGAAGCCAGAAGTGACTGAGATGGAAGTCAGTGTTCATACATCAACAATATCCGGGTCCCTACACAAAGCTGGCCTGGAGTGGTTTCAAAATAAGAAAGTGAATGTCCTGGAGTGACACAGTAAAAGTCCTGACTTGAATCCAATAGAAAATTTATAGAGAGATTTGAAGGTTGTAGTCCATTAACGAACTTGTCAAAATTGGAGCAATTTTGTCAGAAAGAATGAGAAAAAAATTATACCATCCCATTGTACAAAGCTGGTAGAGACCTATCTAAAAGACACACAGCGGTAATTGCTGCCAAAGGTGCTTCTACCAAGAACTGACTTAGGGGCTGAATACTTATGCAATCAGCAAATTTCAATTTATATATTTTCTTTGCAAGTTTTGCTGACACTCAACCTCCTTCACACATAACAGCGTTAAGTTTGATCATTAGAATTTTGAATAAAAACAAGTTCATAAAAAAATTTTACATTATTTGTATTTCATGAAAATGTGACATTATTGGCAGGAGGGTGAATACTTTTGCAAGGCATTGTATTGTGCATATATACGTATTATATGTATGCGTCATGTGCAAACATAGATCTATTTCTACGTGATTTCCTGCTATTTTGCATCTTATGTGATTTTGTTTTAACGATATTTTGTTCCCGATTAATAAATCTATGTTTTAATTGCATGTACGATATAACCCTTTGACTATCGTTTTAGTCGCATTGATATTTTATACAAATACAAATGGATTTATTTTGGAAACTTTAAAAACACATTAAATGATGATAATTGTATGGTGTACCATGTTTGTTTTCTCTCTATCGCTCTACATTGAAGCCTAAGTTGTGTGAAGCCTAAGTTTGATTCTTTCGTCAAATTCATCTCGTTGAATTTGGTAATTATTTTTTTTACGAGGGATATGTTATTCTGCAAGCAGCGAAAATAAGCTATTCGATACAGCAATTAATTAATGAGCTGAACTATGCAAAACAAGAAAACGATAATGAAAAAAAGACACGCTTAATAAACGTGTCATAGTATCAGAGATTTTTTTCGTCAGTGATATATTAGAAACAGGAATGGCCAGGTGGTTAGGGCGCTCGACTCGCAATCTGCAGGTCACTGGTTCGAATCCCCGTCACACCAAACATGCTCGCCCTTTGAGACGTGGGCGCGTTATAATGTGACGGTCAACCCCACTATTCGTTGGTAAAAAAGTAGCCCAAGAGTTGGCGGTTGGTGGTGATGACTAGCTGCCTTCCACCTTGTCTTACACTGCTAACTTAGGGACGGCTAGCGAAGATAGTCTTCGTGTAGCTTTGCGCGAAATTCAAAAACCAAACCGAGAAACAGGAAATATTTACATAACTATAAATACAACAATAACAAATTATATAGTTGGAACAGATAACAAACACGGCAATATCTATCCCTTCTTAGTACGCCAACGTAACGAAAGACAGAGCACAAGAGCCAACTACATAACTTCACCATTTTAACTACTGCTAAATATCACACTAAACTTTTAATAAAAGTAACTTTGACAATTACTAGCCTTCTTTTCAATTAATTCTGCTTTAACTTGTTTGTAATTTGTGTGCTCGTCTTCTTCTACTTTTGGTTTTGAATAAACGGAAGGTTTTGTATGCACTTTTTACAGTTTTTTATAGGCTACTCCTGATGGAATCTGATCTATCCCGAAACGTCTATTAAACATTTTTTACAGTTTTTCTTGGTTACTATTGATGTAGTCTATGCTATGCTATTCCGAAACGTCTTACAAACACTTCTTACAGTTTTCTCTAGGTTGGTAGAATCTGTATTATTCCGAAACGTCTGTTAAACACTTCTAAGAATTTTCTCTAGATTACTACTATTATGGAGTCTATGCTATTTCGAAACGTCTCTCAAACACTTCTTACAGTTTTCTCGAGTTTCCTGTTGATAGAGTCTATTCTACTCCGAAACGTCTTTCAAACACTTATTACAGTTATTTTCTAGGTTATCATTGATGGAATCTGTGCTTTTATGAAACGTCTGTTATTACTGGTATCCTCTTTAGTTGATATAACTGAAAAGTTTTTAACAGTTAAATCAGAAAAGTAAAATTACAAAACACTGAGATAATAGAAAGTTTATCTAGTAAACGATTCTTAAAAGTACGAGCGAATAAGGTCGAGTCGACTAAGTTAGTAATGGATCGCCCTAACATTTTCTATTAAAACAATGTAACTACGTTCACCTATTGGAATTTTACTCACTCTTTGGGCTGGTCGAAGGGTTATAGAGTACATGACATCGATAATGTGTTGTTATTGTTGTGCATGAAGCATGTGCACGTATTATCTCAAAGACTGCCTTCTGTCCGTCCATATGTGTGTCCAGTTTGATAGGTCAAGCCGAGGAAAATCAGAATCTCTTTGTGGCCTGGAAGAAGTACTGAGCACGCTCCCTCCCTGTGAATTCGTGGACGAGCAGTTAGCGAAATATAAGGTGAGTTTATTTTCAGAAAGAATAATCATTCCAGCTACCTTTGACTTTTTTTTTTCAAATATATACATCAAAGGTGTTATTCATAAAATCGTTTACAAAGCTCAAATAATTTAAAAAAACAACAAAATACCGTTATTCTATTAAAGTTTTATTATGAACGTAGATATGTATTTATTGTATAAAATACAGACTTGGCAGGTTAAGTTGACAGTAGAACTGTCCATCTACCTTCATGAGTATTCCCCGGATATCTACATTTTTCAACGTTTGATATTACAAAGTTGGCATTGTTAAAACTGGTAAAACAGAAGAGTTGCTTCCCAGAAGAAGATGTTGCTGCAGAAGTAGCAAGTTTCTATTGTACTCTGGAAATTGTGCCACTCGAAACACTCTGATTAGTTAAATCAGTTCGGAATAAAATAAGAATCAGAGCAAGTTATACAAATCATGGAAACACCATGATTATTTAAGTCAGATCGGAGTTAAGTTAAGAAAGGCTGAGAGAATAAATTGTACTTAACCTGTAATCAATCTGCTTTATTAACTCATAGGCCTGAAACGTATTTGACGTTGGATCCCCAGATAACTTTATTTCACTAATGTAATTCTGTTTTCTGAACGCTATGTGACATTATAAGAACGACTGTGGTAGTTCTGTGTGGTTTTTCACCGTATAATAGGGTTGTTGTTATGATAAGAGCGACTGTGGTTGTTCTATGTGGGTTTTCACCGTATAATGAGGCTGTTGTTATAATAAGAGCGACTGTGGTGATTGTATGTGGGTTTTCACCGTATAATAGGGCTGTTGTTTTTGCTCACCACGGGTATCAAAATCAGATGTTTAGCGTCGTAAGCCTGCACACTTTCCGCTTAGCCACTGGTGCGGCAGTCCTGAGGTTGATTAGGAATGAATTGATAAGCACAAATTCATAACATTGTATTAGAAAAATTGTTCCAATAGGTATCTATTGGTATTTATAGCAATGTCATTTTAACTCTTAACTATTTAAAATGAAAATCCAGTTGTAATACTGAAGTAAGTCAAGGTATAAATCCCTCTAGCAGTGTTTGGAGTAATATTCCCTCTAACATAATTTGCTGGCCAGGTGGTTAGGGCGCTCGAGGCGCAATCTGTGGGTCACGGGTTCGAATCCCCGTCAAACCAAACATGCTCGCCCTTTCAGCCATGGGGAGGTTATAAAGTGACGATCAATATCACTATTCGTTGGTAAAAGAGTAGTCCAAGAGTTGGCGGTGGGTAGTGATGATTAGCTGCCCTCCCTCTAGTCTTACACTGCTAAATTAGCTTTCGTATAGCTTTGCTCGAAATTCAAAACAAACTAACGTAATTTGCTTTAAATTGTAAGGTAATAGCCAACGGGGAGGAATAGCAATGTGTGTAATAACGTTACTCGCACTTATTCCACTGGACGAAGTTGTCAGTACTTCAATTTGTAAAACCAGAGTGAAATAGTGTGTTATGAGAAATAAACACCGATCATTATATATTATTATTAATGAGTACATCCTGTTTCACAGGGCATGCAGTGGTCAGACTTTGTTTGCCAATTTGAAGATAAACAAGCACAGCAGCGCCAAGAACAACGAGCTAGATCGGTTCCTTCCGCTTCCACTACGTGGTCATCCGTATCATCAGTCGGAACGCCGCCACCTTCGCAATCCGATTTACGCCCCAGTTTTGGGGAACCAGAGCAGCTTCTGAGGGCAAATTCACTGCGAAGTCGTTCTGGTTCCACACACCACCATAAGTACCCTCTGAGCACTAACCAGTCAAATCAATTCCGACTGGGCGTCGGAAACAGTATTTCAGAACACCAGCTGATGAAAACTAGTCCGGAAACGAGTCCTTATAGATCATTCCCGGAACACCAACAGTCTGGTGACGCCACAAACAGTAGTCTCGCGAAACACACCCTTAGCTATGATGTAACACTCAGTAATGATGGAAGTCAACCATCCCAAAATCTGTCGTTCGATGAAGCATCGAGTAACGACACCTATCCGTCGCTTAGTAACGAAGAACTCCGGGAAATGCAAATTCGCACTAAGGGAGAAATGAGAAGGCGCGAGGCATTATGGGACCTGTTTCAGAGTGAAACTATGTTCCTGTACGCCCATCTGATGGTGCTCAAAAATGTAAGTTTAAAGATGTTTTTCTGGAATAGTTTCAAGATGAGCAATGTGAAGTGTGTTTTTTTTTTCATTAAAAAATTTTTTGGAAGGTTAGGTCGGTATTACCCTAAACGATATTGAACACAAACATTGAATTCTTAGAAGATCGGCCACGTGATACATATATTAGTAGATATTATCTGTATTCTGCAAAATTATTGTTCACGTATTTACGTTAATGCAGGTTTTCATGGAGCCACTGAAGAAAATACAAGTGGAAGGATTCGCAATGTTTGCTCAGCCTGAAGTATTGTTTGGTAATCTAGACGAGCTATGCTGTGTGAGTATTCTTGCTTTGAAAAAAAAATAGTTCTGGAAAAAGTAGTTCTGAATTTTAATAACAAGTTCAGAAACAAATGAAAAAACGTTGTAAGTTATACGTCACGATAAATGAAATTCATAAACTGAAGTTGTAATAAATAGCAAGTTCAAAAGACTTTTTATTCGTCTTGCGTGAGTATAAAGAAAATGAAACAAGAACCAAATGTAACAAAAAAAATCATGTAACGGTCAGGCTAGATATTTTAATGGATACAAGCCTAACAGTCAACCAAATTTTCGCCATTTCTAACCAAATATTGGAATTCTGTTTATATAAACTATTAGTTAAGCCTCAGATGTGTTAAGTAGATATAAGCCAAGCTTTAAAATGATGAAATAATTTAATTTGTTATTGTAGAATAGTGTAATATTGAACTATATTACGCGTTCAACAAGAATTATTTTTGTTAACAAAAATACAAACAAGCTGAAGTAAAGGGAAGAACATTGATGTCAAAGAAATATGCATCTTCAATCTTCCTGATTTTTTTGTGTGTGAAATCTACGTTTTTTACACTTAAAACTACGTGTTCTGGTCTTTCTTTTATATATTGCGTTATGACGTTTTGTGAAAAATCTGAACGTGATGGAGAAAAAATGGATACCATGTTCGGATTCAGCGTACAGGAATTACTGTAGAACGTGTAAAAATATCAAGACAATAAAACCATCGCAGGCCTGTGTAATTGACACATTTTTATTTTCAAGCGTTTATTAAATGACTAGCCCCCAGTGGCACAGGGGTATGTCTGCGGACTTACAACACTAGAAACCGGGTTTCGATACACGTGGTGGGCAGAGCACAGATAGCCCATTCTGTAGCTTTGTGCTTAATTAAAAAAAAACAATTAAGTGACTATTGGCAAACAACATTAAAAAGAGTTGCGAAGCTTTTCGAAATATTTTATGTATTGATCTGTATCAAAGTAAGAATCAAATGACTTATATTAAATAGTTTATATATATTATTTTCAGGTAACCTACGCCTTCTGCAAAGAATTTATTCATTTAATTCTTCAAAACATGCAGGGCTTGGAAAATGAAACTACAGACGTGCTTGTGAAGTTGTTCCAAAAGGTACACTGATGTTTAATGTTTCCTTGAATCCTTTAGGAAACAAGTGGATTCATGACTTATCCTAGTTGTTGTTTTTTCATTATACAGTCTCGGCCGAAATGTTTGCATATTGTTCTATAGTGATGTTATTGTCTACATGCATGGAGTAGTTATTGAGTAAATGCCCGAGTAGTAACAGAGAAAGTAGCGTATGTTCGGACAAACGTGTACGAATTGTTATTTTGGTCTGTATAAGTTGTTTTGAGCATTTGTTCGTCAGAACACACGTACACACTTGTTTTATATAAAAGGGTCTGCTTTTGGTATAATGTTTTTCGAAACAGATCAACGCTTTGTTCAGACAATTTCTCCGTACTTAGTATAGAGTCATGCCTTCTCTCGTCCCAGAAGTTATAGGTCATCAAATTTTTCGACTGTCCAGAAATAGTATGAAGCAAACGGACATTGCCAGAACAGTAGGGTACCCCCAGTGTACTGTATCTAGAACCCTGAAACACCATCTGACTACAGGAAACGTTGTTCCAGGAAAGTCTACTGGTAGACGCCGAACGATTACTGCCCGAGGTGATCGTCAGGGTCGAAAGAAGTCCTGCAACAACTTACGACAAGACACCTTCATTCCAGTGTATCCAGAATAACAGTGAATAGGAGACTAGCCAAAGAAGATTATTTTGCAAGAAGGGCTATCTGAAACCGACATTAACCAGAATTCACCGCCATTACCGTGTTACTTGGTCAAGACAACATGCCAAGTTAGAGTTAGGACACTGGCAACATGTCATTTTTTCATTTGAGTCCTGTTTCCGGCTTGTTAAGGTTGATGAGAGGATTCGTGTTCGTCATTTGCCTAGAGAGCAGATGAGGGAAGGCTGTCTTTCCAACAGGGAACACCCAGGAGTTGGTGCAGTACATCTTTGGACAGCTATTCATCATGGTGGAAAACTGCTCTTCATATACTCCAGGTAAACTTCAACGACGCCTCCTACAGGCGTCACATGGAAACAATATTTCTCCATATACTTGGGAAAGATTTGGCAATGCTACTGCTAACATTGTACATATTATACAGGATTATCTAGACCAGAAGGACATTACAAGATTGTCATAGCCAGCAAAGCCTCCGCATTATAATCCCACTGAAAACTGTTGGGCGAAACTGAACCGGAAAATTGTCAACCACGACTCCAAACCAGCTATTGTAGCTGAGTTGAAGCGCCTTCTAGTGACAAGTTGCGATGAAATCACCGTGGATTATATCAATTACCTCATCGACAGCATGCCACGTCGCTATTACAGTAGGAGGACCAACCAAGTACTGAGTGCTTAATATGAACTGATATAAAATTACAGACGCTATACATATTAATTTGATGTTATATTTTGTCACCATATATGTTTTGGTAAAGTTTTGTTGTGATAGGTGAAATGCTGAATTACACATCTTTCTACAGGTGTATCATAAAATTGTTTTCTGTTCTTATAACTCTTAAATGATGTCCATAGAACCTGTCTCATTATACAAATTTCACATGTAGATGTTTAATATAACATGTACTTCTCAGTTTTACAGCGCTAAGTGTATTTGTATTCCATCTTAATAATAATGATCTTATTTGTTACAAGATATGCAAACATTTTGGCCAATACTGTAGTAGCATTCTCCATAAATTGTTACATTGGTAATTAACTTTTACTTTTGAGCATTAATCTCTCGATAGCACTTTGGAAAAACAACATATTTTGTTCTAAAAATTTAGTTTTATAAGTTGAAGTCTAAGTTATGTTTTCAGTGTTGTTGTAATTACCTCAGGTTATTATATTCTAGCGGTTGTTCTTTCGTTTATTATACAAGTTTCAAAGATGTTCATCAACGTTCAATATCCTATAAATTTCTTGATTAATATTTATGTTTAAGAAGTTTGGGTTAGTGTGTTTTTTTATTGTGGTCGAAACGATAAGGTGTAAAGTAACCCAAAAATTACACCTTCACGTGCTTTTATTTCTTTGTTACGATTTTGAAGTAAGATGAAAAAAGCTATGATACAAAAAATGCCTGTCCAAAAATAATATTTCGTGTCAATGTATTTTCGGGGCGCTTTTAATATTAAAGCTGTTCAAACAAACAAACAAAAAAATGCGTTGATAGCGCTAGTTTTAGCGTATTTTGTGCTGTATAAAATTTTATTTAGTCTCTGAGCGCTTCAACTTACAAGTTATATTTTCAAATTATTACAATGATTAGATGCTTTCGAGTAGCTGAAGTTGCAGATTGTACTATATTAACAACGTATTATAATGTTCCAGCTATTTCCATTATCAAATGTACATGTCCAGTCTGATGACCATGATTACGCATTATTAGCTGGTATCAAAATATTTTCTGTAAGAAGTATCTGTAAAGACAAGACAGCGATATCAATCTTGGATCACATATCTTGATAACCTTTCCATAGATCCTCCACCGTACATGGATATTGATTTCCAAGACCCCGTTTAAGCTGACCAAAGGCACGAAAGCCTATTGAAGCTGCAACAGGGGAACTGATATGCATATTATAGTATGGGATCGCTGTGAATCCAGTTATTTCGGTAATCTTTCTCATAAAAACAAACATTATATTGGAAGTGTGGCTGGAAGTTTGCGAGCCGTTGTCAACTTCAAAAACTTGTTTACAACCTCCTATACGATACCATAAGATTTTCCCAGTTTCAATTGTTTTTGAATCAGAGTATTCTCTTTCATGGCTTTAGTCTTCACTTTAGATGAGGACGCTTCTGAGATAGGCCTAGTTTCTAAACCTGCTATATAAGTGTGTTCGCTTCCATAAAGAGTAACGAAGACTCTCTGTATTTAAATACTGCATCCTTCAGCTTTACATCATTTAAAAATCTTTTTATATGAATATCCTTTCTCAGAAAGTACCCTGACATATACATTTGTTCCTCCAACTATAAATCTACCTTGATAACATTGCACTGGCGGATCGTTGGGAATTCGCCGTGAACCAAATATGTTGGTTCTAAACGTGGCGCCACAGCTCGCATCTGCGGTGACACGCTAATACATTAACTGTATCTTAATCTCCTTTCTTTCACCAAAACGCGGATTTCATTGAAGAAAAGATACAGGGGGTCTACTTTATTTGATTGCTTTACTCTTCCAAGTAACAGATGAGCCATGAATTCAGCAAATCTACCCTGTTACAGTGGGATTAGGGAATAAGAAAATATATTAAGCCTCAAAATCATAAACGTGAAGTTCAATGAAGAAAATAAACTAACAAATAATCAGTTAGTCCGCTAAATAATAATGGATAATTAACTGTGACAGTATGTCACATGGCATCCATGTTTTATGTTATTAGTGGTTCGTAAAGGACTGCACATCTGTAACAAATAAAACACTAATACACTGGCATATGCAAATCGTTTTTAGAAAAGTAATTAAACTTTTGTAAAACAGATCTCAGTAAGATTGCATGTTCTATATAATATATATTTTGGAACGTTTTCTCCTATTTTATGCCATATGTACTTCAGTTACAAAGTGCATTGTAGGTAAGTATTAAACAGAAAACTAACCAGTTTTGTAAAGGTTTAAAACTATGATAATAAGATATATAGATGTTAAAAAAGAGAAAGTTTGTTAATCCTCCATATTCTATGTTACTGAATTCTCTTTAGAGTTCCAAGGCCGCAGCACTAAGACAAGCATACCACAGATACACCCTCAACTATATCAACGCTCTTAATTACTTGGAAACATTGAGGAGACAAGTGGAGTTCAATGAATTTGAGAAAGTAAGCCTGAAGTTTTAAAAGTTGTTTTTGTATCAAAACAAGATGATAAGTGTGCAGTAGTAAGTTGGCAAAATAACTAGAAGAAAGAGTTTGCAGTCTAAAAAAAAGTTATCCAGATCTTGAAATTTATTTTTAGTATTTTAACATCAAGCCATAAATATAATATAGATAAATATTTAACGAAATAAAAAAAAAACATGTTGTTTCAATCCTCTACCATAACTCTACCTGGTGTTAAAAGTATGACTTTTTCAGGCCTCTTTTATATCATAAAGACATTGAATTGTTCAAATATACTAATCTATTAATGAATATAACAGGTGGTAAGAATTTTACGCCCCAAAAACATGTTGTTGTTTTTTCTTGTATTTCCTAAACAAATTGTTTTTGTAGACAGTAAATGGGGAGGGGGTAATTAGAAATATTACTATGATGGAACACCATTAGCTTCAAAGTAGAATATTGAAAGCGTCGACGGGTTGTCCAGGTCTCCAACCAGCTGAAGCAAAAATATTTCTAATGCTTTAGACACACTTTGAAAACAACGTATCTCATTAAATATCCACATAGAATTAGGAAGATTAAAATCTAATGCTCTTATATAATCACTAACCGAAAGGATACAAAATTAAATACGCTAAATTCATTATTCATATTTGAATAGCACAAATATATTTTACATGTATTCTTTAATGAATATTGGATAAACTGTTCCATACCTCAAACCCGCAGGTTAATAAAGCCATCTAGTTAATAGTTAACAGAACATCAAATCAATTTTGGGCCCATCTGTTTGGGAAATTCCTTTTGATGAGTAGATTCGTCTAGCAACAAGCAAAATTATATAACGTGGTCTCTTTTTTAGTTATTTCCTTTTTCAGCGAACACCATGTTTTGTTTGAACAAATCTAATACTAAGAATTTGAGTTTGGATTAGAGACAGGTTTGTTTGTAATTAAACACAAAGCTACACAATGGGCTATCTGTGTTCTGCCCATCACGGGTATTGGAATCCCGATTCTAGCGTTGTAAGTCCGCAGACATACCGCTGTGCCACAGTTGATCTAAATATGAGTAATGGACAGTAGCCTACGTCAGTACTCTACGTCTTGCTATAACGTCGCTGTTTCTCATCTATCTAAGCAAAGATTATCATGTTTAATATCATAAATAATTCCTCTTACCGTCTCTGTACATAAGTGTGTCCACCGGTGGGTCAGCGGTAAGTTTCAGGACTTACAATCCTAATATCCGGGGTTCGATTAGTCGCGGTGAACAGAATGTGTCCCTCTCTGTGGACAGATCAAAGGTAGCCCATTGTGAAACTTTGTATCTAAAAAATCAAACATAGCTGTGGAAAGATCAGAGGTAGCCCATTGTAAAGCTTTGTATCTAAAAAATCAAACATAGCTGTGGACAGATCAAAGATAGCCCATTGTAAAGCTTTGTATCTAAAAAATCAAACATAGCTGTGGAAAGATCAAAGATAGCCCATTGTAAAACTTTGTATCTAAAAAATCAAACATAGAAGGGGAGCACATGCAGGCAAACCATGATATATTTCTGATACAGAATTATCGAGTGAAGCTACACAGCTATCTCTAATTTTGAACTGATATGTTGGGTGGAAGTAAGCTAGTCAACACCACCCACCGCCAACTTTTGGGATACTCCTCTCTAATTGAATAGTGAGATTAGATCACCACTCTTTTGCACACCTACATCTTCAAAGCGCGGAGCACGTTTTTGAGTCAACGTGACATGAACTCGGACCCTTTAGATTCACAGTCCTGGCACACTAACGAGTACACAACGCCTAAATTTCTAACGCTGATGAATGTATTACATACCACTTAACTGTAAGAAGAGAACAAACAATTGGTAGTTTGGGTTTGAATACTCGGCTTCAACAACTATTTGAAAACGAGTTAAAAACCTTCAAATTGACAAAATTCAAGAGAGGTTTCATATTTTTTCAAATACGAATTTTCTTTATTTTTGAAATATTGACGCAAAAAAACGATAGAAATGGAAATATTTCATCATCAGTATTTCAGACTATAAACTGCGATTTTTCGAATAAAAAACAAATATGTTACTTCAACGCACATACTAATGCTGGTTTCAGCAAACTCAATAACATCAAATGACGCAAAAAAACGACAGAAATGGAAATATTTCATCATCAGTATTTCAGACTATAAACTGCGATTTTTCGAATAAAAAACAAATGTGTTACTTCAACGCACATACTAATGCTGGTTTCAGCAAACTCAATAACATCAAATGATGTTGTACTATTTCAAGATTATAATGGATATATATATATATATATATACAACAAAACTTCAGTTATTCGTCTTTTCAAATAAAACACATTTATTGCACATAAAAAACCGGTTTCGCACCTTCACTGGCTGATTTCCAGTGGTAAAATCTATAAAAAATAGATTTTTTGACCGTTTCTAGATGCTACTGTTGACCTTTACAAACCTTACAGTGCATCATGGTATCTACAGAGTATCCACAACACCGGTTGTCCTAGGCTGTATGTCTGCGTCCGTTTACAGAATATGCCCTAAACTTCTGTCCTTAGAATCAATACAGTACTGAAGACGGTCAATCCGGATTAGCTCCTCACGTTTATCAATGATAAATACGGTTGGCTAAATAATCTCCAAAGAAACAAGAAAAGCGACGTTAACTTTCTCTATTTTACAATAGCAATCGCTTTTGAGACATCCTATACGATGTTATTTTGTTGTTAGTTGAATTTCGCGCAAAGCCACACGAGGGCTATCAGCGAAAGTTTTCCCTAAATTGGAAGAGATAGGCTACAGGGAAGATGGTTAGTCCACGCTGTCTACCATTAAATTTTGGGCTACACTTGTTATACCGAATTGACCGTCATTCTTACTTATATTGAACCATGAGTCCTTGGCTGTAACATAATACGGACTACGGAACTTTAACTCCACAGTCCAGGACACTAACTACTGAGCCCACAAAATCAGTGGAGTTAGGCCCATTACTACCTGGGGGAGGAGTTGTTGTAAGACATTCGGTACCATGATAAGTGTATGAAAAGAGAAAGAAAGCAAGATAAATTATAGGCTTCGAGAGTATAAAATATAAAAAATAATTTTTGATGTATTTTACTTTTTTTGCATTTCAATCTGAAAAAATTCAGTTTATGCAAATTAGTTGCACATTTTCACAACTAGATGGCAGCAGCAAGAAGTCGAACGCAGTTATATGACATCGCCATCTTGGTGTTAGTAGTACTGTATTATGGTCTACAGTTTTCTCTGAGAAGCAAAAACACGCATTTTATCATTTTTTTTACCCGTCTAAGAAGGTAAAAGGCCTTTCATTCATAAAGTAAGTATGTTTTTCTCTGTGTTAATAGAAGATCAGATGTGTACTAACTTACTTTCTGTGTTTGTGTACGTGTTTTAGGGAAAAGGAAAAGAGCATATTACTGGTAATATTGTGTATATTGCAAATATTTACCAGCATAAATATGCGTGTATGTATATATATAGTTACTGCTTATGTAATGGTGCACTAATTATTTTCATTCTTATAGTGGTGCTCGCGTGACCCACGCTGTAAGAAGCTTCAGCTCACCGATCTCTTAGTTTCTCCAGTTCAGCATATCATGAGAGTGCCTTTGTTACTGAAGGAGATAGAGATGCGGACTGACGATATCCAAGAAAGAGAAATAATTACCAACATTATTGAATCAGAAGAAAATTCATTGAGTATGTTTATATTTTATTTTTTAGCAACTACGAAAACTACAGGCTACATTGAACCATGTAATAAAAAGTTTATTGCGTTGAATGTTTTGAGAAATGAAATAAAATAACGTACTTTCAGATAGCATATGCAAATTGCACTGTCCAACAAAATAAAATATATCGTTCTTGCTTTTCTGATACAAACTATTAGAGAAATGTTATTGAAAGTATAAATAGAAAAATTCCGATCTTTATCAGTTGGGCTTAATGTTGCTGTTATTTCTTTAACACGACAAAGTTAATGTGGTTATACATAGCATAGAACAAAACCAATGCTAGATTTCGGCCTACACATTTTTACACAGAATCGATTGCCATTCTAAGCTAGAAGGTTTTGAATAACAATGGGCTATAAATATCACATCATTATCATCACGATTTGGTTTTGTTAGAAGTGATAACAATCTGAAAATGTTGACACATTTCCATCACGAAAGTAATGCCAAAAATTTCCGATTTTACACAGGAGAGTTGGACGATAAAATGAAATGGTTAAAAAACTTCGAGAGGCTTCTAGAAATTCAGCGGAATATTATCTGGCCTTCTATCACGGAGCTGGACCCAAAGGCATTCATTCCAGAGGTATTTTCATACTTATTTACTTTGAGATATACCAAACATTGTTAGGGCGCTCGACTCACAATCTGAAGATCGCGGGTTCGAATCCCCGTCCTACCAAACATGCTCGCCCTTTCAGCCGTTGAGGCGTTATAATGTGACGGTGAATCCCACTATTCGTTGGTAAAAGAGTAGCCCGAGAGTTGGAGGTGGGTGGTGATGACTAGCTACCTTCCCTCTAGTCTTACACTGATAAATTAGAGACGGCTTTGTAGCTTTGTGCGAAATTCAAAAAACAAACCAAACATTGTTAAAGAGAAATACAAAAGTCAGGGAAACAAGGGGATGGGCCAAAATTTATAACACAAATATTAACACAACAACAGTATTTCTGAAGCCTTATTTAAGGTTTCTTAGAGCTCTATTATCTTACGTCACAAATGACCAAGAAATAATACATGAAAAATATTTACTTGGCGTTCAAAATATTAAGGTAAAGCTTTAATTGTTTGCAACTTAGAAATCGTTTTCTTAAAATGGTTTTAATGCTACTTTCACACGGCATTCTTCTAGTCCTGATAAATACGTGTAATTAACTTTAACTGGAACATTCTTGAAACAAGTTTAACATATATTAAATCTATTCTGTATTTTATGCGTCAGTATGAGTTGTTGAAATTCTTACAAAATGCCCAGGTCTTAGATATTTTAATACAAATAGCAAAAACTCTGAACTCCTATTTATGTCTGTACACATGATAAAAGTGTATAAAATCATCGTATAAAAGACACATTTCTTGTGCCCGTCAGTTAATTTCAGTATAATATTATATGACAGCATTGCTTGATTACTTTTAGCCTGCTACTTTATCTCCCTCTGTAGGCCTACTTGTGATATTCTACTGATACTTTGCTCAAAAATGTTTTTGTGGGAGCCTGTTGGGGCTCGAAAAATTGACAATAAATATTATTCTGGCTCAAATGCGCAGGTATCTTCGTTGCCTTAAATCTGAGCTAGAATTACTCCAATACAAAACGTTTATTTTAACTGTGCCAGTTATTTACGTTTCATTTAACACGATTATGCAGGGTCATTATAGGTACTGGACGTCTTTTCTATCCAAATGTGCTTTGAAACTGTTATCAGAAATACGTTTCCTACTATCTAAATATTTTTACATAATTACAGTACAGTTTACTGTTGGAATTAGGGTCATAGACAGCACTTTCATTTTCTATGGCAAAAACAGAAATGTATTTTTGAATTAAATAAGGCAATTTAGAAAAGACGCCTATTCTAAACCAGATATTCATAGCTTCTATTTTAAAGTATGCTTTCAAGTAACAATAGAATCGAAGATTGAGAAATGTCTATGACAAAAGGAAAATCAAACTGATTAAAATAAAGAGCAAAACAAAAATAGATAGATAATAAACAGAAATATGTTTTCTTCTTCAGTTTCTTAAAGCACCACTATCCAAACAACCTTGTGAACGGCTAATTGTAAGCCCTAAGAGACAGATTGTACTAGAGGGACCTCTTCAGTTGCTTGGTAAGTATTATTATAATAACTTAAACATGTTGGACAATATTAGTTGCGCCAATGAACACTGTATACGAACATTAAACGCTATTGTTGTTCTTTTAATAGACTGCTTAACGTATTTTTATAATCAACACATATTAGAACGTATTAAAGCATAATCTTCTTTAATGTATATATATATATTTTTATTCTAACGTAGAAATCATATATAATGAAAAAATATATCAATCCCAAAATAAGACACCCCACCCCCACAGATAACCTGAGCACTTCTGAAAGGTAGACCTTTGGAAACCTCTTGGGTTTTAGGGTTTCTCGTTTTGTTATTTACCGCAACGTTATATGTTATGTAACAAAATTACATTATTGACAATAGTTTTGAGCCTAAATCAACATCAAGGAGACTGAAAGTTTACAGTTTCTGTAAGAAGTTAAGACGCTATAAGCAGAGTAATAATGATATTTCAATATTGAGTGAAATTGAATTAGAAATCATTTTATTTTCAGATAGTGAAAAGTCAACAGAGACGTATATGGTCTTATTACTTTCAGGTAGTAGAAAACCAACAGAGATGAATGTGGTTATTATTTTCACCACATTCATCTCTGTTGGTTTTACACTATATGAAAGTGATAAGACCACATTCATCTCTGTTGGTTTTCCACTATCTGAAAATAATAACCACATACATTTCTGTTGGTTTTCCACTATCTGAAAATAATAACCACATACATTTCTGTTGTTTTCCGCTATCTGAAAATAATAACCACATACATTTCTGTTGTTTTCCGCTATCTCCTTATCACTTTCATATAGTGTAAAACCAACAGAGATGAATGTGGTCTTATCACTTTCATATAGTGTAAAACCAACAGAGATGTATGTGGTCTTATTATTTTCAGATAGTGGAAAATCAACAGAGATGAATGTGGTCTTATTATTTTCAGATAGTGGAAAACCAACAGAGATGTATGTGGTCTTATTATTTTCAGATAGTGGAAAACAACAGAGATGAATGTGGTCTTATTATTTTCAGATAGTGGAAAACCAACAGAGATGAATGTGGTCTTATTATTTTCAGATAGTGGAAAACAACAGAGATGAATGTGGTCTTATTATTTTCAGATAGTGGAAAATCAACAGATATGAATGTGGTCTTATTACTTTCAGATAGTGGAAAACCAACAGAAATGTATGTGGTTATTATTTTCAGATAGTGGAAAACCAACAGAGATGAATGTGGTCTTATTATTTTCAGATAGTGGAAAACCAACAGAGATGAATGTG